ATTACATCAGTCCAAATAAATACTACTTTAATTTTAAAGGTAAATGGACATCATCCAATCACTGAAAGAATAAAACAGAATAATCATTGACTCTCTTCTCAATATCTATTGATCCATTTTCAGAAAAATAATTCAGATCTGAGCAGTCTTTTTTTAATATTTCCTCTGCTGCCTGTCCATTGAGACTATCATGGAGCTTCCTAGGACTATGAATAATTTCCCTACTGACCTCCAAATCCAGCCAGGTATGCCAGCAAATGACAAAAGAGACTCTATTTTTATATTTCTTTATAACAGGCATGACTAATCATTTCTTTCTTCGAAAATTGCCATTAGAATTCCACTGCCAATTGAACACAGATCTAATTCCTTAGTAATGCATTCGAAGATGTTCCTGAAGTCCACATATAAACATTTCCCTTTTCTGCACTCTAAAAGGCTTTTGCCCTTTAATTACGTTGTTTGGAAGGCTTCCCACCTGCCCTCATGGACTATTCATTAATCACCGTAAGGATGATTTCGCATAGATTGGCAATAATATAAGGCAAAGACAGGTATCTGAGAGTCCATGAATTAGACTACTCATCATCCCCTGAAGACTGACAGTGATACTATGTGACTCATAAACTTAACATTAATTATCAGAAGTGCTGAGAATTTGGGCAACTGTGTTTGTAGGGTAACTTTTCAAGGACAATGATAATGATAATAGAGCAATATTTATAGAACACCGTGTTATGGTTTGTGTCTAGATGTCCTCCCAACGCCTCATGCAGTTTTAGATTGGGCCTTTTTTTAGAGGTAGCTGAATCTAGAGTGTGTGATTGATTCCTATGCAATTCTGGGATTATGGGTGTTGGGATTAAGAGTGGGTGGTTGTGGGATTAGCTCACCACCACCCCAATCCCAGGAGGCTGGATTCAATTCAAGGGACAGAAAGAAGCTTTTCTACCTCTCTTGCCTATTGATTTTGCAGTCTTTCATTGCCACTTCCTATTGCCCCTCTGCCATGTGCCACTGTGCTTTGGAGCCAGCCAATTAAGGACTGAAACCTTGGATATTTTGTCTCAGCAAGAAGAAAAGTAACTAAGACAATGGGATAAGGGTAAGACTAGTCATAGTACTGTAAATCAGTAAAGGATGCTAGGACACACAGGGATTAGCTACAGCAATAAATGCTGAGAGTTACAGGGAGTACTATACCAAGCTTGGGTAGTCTTATTGAATGCTGAGCAGACAAAATCAGACTCTGAAACATTAGCAGACAGCAGGGGAAGACAAACCTGATTTGTTTCTCCTCTTGTGCTTCTAACTTCTTGCTAACAACTCTCCTTGGTTAATTAAGCAGAAAGTTACAGGGAAAGTGGGCAGGCTGATACCGCCAGTAAGGATCAAGCCACTTCTCTGCACAAAGCAGACAAAGAAAGGAAGTGAAGTGGGAAGACACATGAAGAGTAACTCCCAGTGCAATGTTTAGAAAATTAAAGCAAGTTAATTTGTATATAGTGCCCTTTCCTTCTCCTCTTTCCCTAGGTAATGGTGTTAGCATATGTGTGCTAAAGCAATGTTGCTAACTCTTCCTCCTATCAATGAACAGGCAGTCAGCTGCACATCTGGGAGGCATGTTTAAAACATTCATGAAAAACAAAGCTGAGTGCATTACTCTGTCTGATAATGGGGAATAGAGATGACTTTAAATATTACATTTAGGGTGGGCATTTAGCTCAGCGACATAAGCACCTGCCTTGCAAGCATGAGGTCATGAGTTCAATCCCCAGTACTGATTTTTTTAAAAGTATATATATGTAAAACACATCTACAGAAAATCTCAACATTTAAGAATTTTTAAGAGAAAAATTAAGCTTGCTGGACGAATATATTTCTAGGGCAGATGTTTATATTTGAAATGGCCAGTCACAATTCCTGATTAGGACTTTTAAATAAGGTTCTCTTTGAAAGGCATCATTGACCAGCAATGTTGATAAAATTGCCTATTTTTGAATGACTGAAAATCCTGGTTGAAACTAAAAAAGCAGTTATGTCTACAGAGTTCCATAATTATAAGAGGTATATAGATTGATGGCTATGTAAATCCAGTGTTTCTTAGTGACTGAGATTGTTTTGGCTCTGGGAAGATGTCTGTGATAACTTTATGTTATCTATAAATGTATAACAATGTCAAAAAGAAGAAAGAAATGAACCATAAGCCTGCCTGGTGCTCATTTTGTACATACTCAGTCTCTCCTGTGCCTTCTAGTCATGTTAGTGCTCACCTGCTGATACTGAAATAAAGTAGAAAAGTTTCCTCTGAATTGCTTATGCCTGATTGATCGAAATTCCTTCTCTGTCCACTTGTGAGCAAATTTCTATCACTTGGGAGTAGTACACACTGAAAGGCTTAAAGATAGGTTCCCAAATTATGAAGTAAGACACAGCTAGATTCAGATGATTGGCTCAAAATTGTCAGACCTTACCTATGAAGCCGTGCTGTGGTTACACCAAACTGAATGGTTATTACACAAAGCCTATTATTAGCCACAAAATCCATAGAAGCATGCTATTTTTATAACTTCATTTAATTTTTCCCAGACATAGATGCTTTGTGAAACCTTCTTTTTCTTAGCCTATGTTGCTGGATTCCCATGGTTTGAATGACACTTTAATAATTCATTATACTCCAGGAAGTTAAAGATCATAGCCAGGAGTTGAGAGAATGTCCTTTGTTTTCTCAGCACATGGGTGTAACAGCAAACACCAAAACAAAACGACACCCAGGATTTGGAGACAGAGTAATTTTACATTGATGGGCACTGACTGGGATTATTCCCCAAAAATCAGTCCTGGATTTCTGGTGGTCTATGGCTTATATGGGATAAGCAAGCAGAAATTACAGAGACAGAATGAGTTGTCAAATGAGAATTGGTTTATAGTGTGTATCATAATGACCAGTCTTTTCTAAGAGACAGGAGAAACCTGAATTACAACAGGGCAACTAACCAAAGTATGCTGACTGGGTGTGTGTGGAGAGCACTTTCTGCTACAGTGTTATACTTCCTCACATATTCATTTGTTACCTTGTTATTTTTCTCATTTAGATTTTCCTTTAAACAGATTGAGGGCTAAACCAAGCATGGACGCCCTATACTAAATTAATGACATAAAAAGTGAATAAATGAATGAACTTTCCTGCCAGTTTATATCTGGTCTCTCATCGCATCATTCCTACAATTTTTAACACAGACAATGTGACTTCTATTGTAGCTTTTTGCTTTCATTGTCACCCCTGCATCAAGCATAATGTTGCTTGAAGTGAGAAATTTTGTCATAACCTTCTCTTAAACCCTAGTATTTTACTTTCAGTAGGAGCTTAATAAACATTATTTGTATTTTTATTGAATTAAAAGAAATAGAAGTCTAGATCTTTCAGAGGGAAAATCTTTAGACAGTGTGCTTATTTACTAAGGCTACGTTAATTGGAAGTTAAGTAAAAACTACAGCAATATAATCATGCATTCTAAAGCTTAAGTAAAGATTTCAAATTGTACAACTGTACAAGGTAACCTACACACACAGCTTGCCTTGCATTCTCACCTCCATTCTGATTAAAGCTGTTTTGGGCTTATTTGATTTCCTACATTGGGTATGATTCTGTCACGTAAGTCATTGCAGCAGTATTAACAGTTGCCATGAAACCTGATGACTTTTCTCAATAATGGTCTTTCAAGCTTTCAGCTGAGAAATCAGTTTCTTAAACTTTGTCACCGAAGACCAGGTGGCCCTACTTCACCAAATTACTCTATAAGATTTATTAGTTTACTCTTCCTCTTGAAGGGTAGAACTCTCAACTTCTCCACTAAATCTGTAACACCCCGCACCATGTACATAAGGAATAAATAAGTAAAAAACAATTACTGATGTGTACACAGTTGCAGGAAGGTGGCCTGCCCATTTAGTTGTGAATTTCTAGTAGTCAACTCAAAGGATTTTAAGATTCATGAAAAATTTAGGGTAAAATAAGAATACTTCAAGAGCAAGTAAAACTTGTGTTACTTGTTAAAAATCAAATGAAAATTAATGGTGTGAACACAACTGCTGCATTTTTAAAAGGTGAGAAAATACTCATTTTAATAAATGAACTTAGGCCTTCCCTTTTAAATGTCTCTTTCCCTTTTGTATTTGTTGTCAAAAAGCAAAACACTTCCTTTTGATTTTTGGTTAGTATCTATCGGACTGGAAAGAAATCTTGTTTCAAAGAGGGTAACAGTAATGTCACTAAACTAGAAAACTTATGGGTTAGTGGACAGTGCAACCAATAGGAGTTACCGTATTATTTGTGGAATGCATCAATAAGTGGAAAATTTAAAGCTAAATTAAAGTATGCATCCTTTCTCTTCGGAAGTCATTAGCATAACATTTTCTTTCAGATGGCTATTTGTGTAAAGTAAGGGTGAATTCAGTTATTTTGCCTTAGAAAATATGACCATACTTACAATTCTCAAATAAAATTTTAAATTCTTCTAAAACTTTTAATGAAATATTAAGCTTGAAGTGGATGTTTTTGTTTCAATTAATCAGCGCTAATAACGCAAGAACATGAAGATTCGAATTTAATATGGTGCCTGGCGTTCATAAAGCGAGAGGAGGTGGTGGAGGAAGGTCATTTTTCCCAAGTAAACGTGATTTCAAATTTGATGTAGAAACTTTTCCTCCTACACACTGGCAAATTTCTGTGGTTGCCTAAATGAACCTCAACAGAGATCTTTTAGGCAAAAACTCTGAAAATTCCTACCCTAGTGATATTTTCAAAGGGAAAGAAGCGCAGACATCTTCCTCTCCTGCAGCATGTCGCATAGGGTCCAGAAATTTTTGCTACAACGCCCTTTTGCCTAAACCGCCCTCCATTTAGCCCTTCAAACTGTAGCAAAAAGTAAAGCAGACAGGACTCCTGCCCAGGTTACACTTCCTAGTCTAAAAACCCGGATGTAGCAGCCGTGAGGTTGACATGGGAACTGCCCAATAGAATTGTAGAAGGGCGGGTCATTTTCCCGGATACTCCAATCGGCACGCAGAGCGTCTTCGTCTCCAAGGTGAACGCGGAAGTTAAGCCTCTGCGGACCCCATGGATGCCCTGCTACAGCAGCTGGAGCGCTTTTCCGAGGTTCTGTCTGTGTCTCGCACGAACCACGTAAGCACCTGGGGCCCCGAGACGGTGCGCAGGGCTCTGCAGTGGGCGCGCTACCTGCGCCAGGTGTACCGGCGCTTTGGCAGCCACGGCCGAATCCGCGCGGCTCTAGAAAGGCGGCTGCGCATCCACTGGGGGCCGGAGGGCCCCAAGTCGGGTCTGACGAGCTTCCGGGCACTCGGGCGCGGGGACGTCCTGCTGTCTCTGAACTTGCTCCAGAACCGGGCGCTGGGTGATGCCGCCGGCCGTGCCTTGCTACAGCAGCTCTTCCCGGGCGCGGGTACCGGGGACGCCGATGCGGAGGCGCTGCAAACCCGCCTGGTCCGCCTGGCCCGCCGCCGCGCCGCGCTCCTGCTGCTGCGAGAGACCGACTGCTTCCGCGGAGGGAGCCCGGGCCTCCTCGAGGACCCTGTGCTGCTGACCCAGGCGCAGCTGCTGCTTGGGCGGCTGCAGGAGGCCGGGGAGACAGAGACAGGGGACCCCAGTGGGTGGCTCGGACGTCTGTGGACGCGCGCGCCGCGGGTTCACTTCCTGCAAGTGATGGCGGTAGCGCTGTTGCAGCCCCTGGAGGAGTTGGGACCGAGCGGTCCCAAGTCGCTCGGAGAGGAAATTCATGTGCTAGTCCGATGGCTTCTGGAGCAATCTGAAGTCCTAGCTGCTTTTTGTCGCCTCCCAGCCGGACTGTTGACTTCGATAGCAGAACGCCACCCTGCGCTGTCGCGGGCCTACTTGGTTCTGTTAACAGACTGGGGTCAAAAGCTGCACTACGACCTTCAGGAAGGTGCTTGGGTTTCCGCTGATTCTCAAGACGTCCCCTGGGAGGAGTTGTTACGCAGGTTTCAAAGCCTCAGCCAGGCCCCTCCACCTCTGAAGGACGAGGTTCTAACCTTGTTGGAGTCCTGCAAGGCACGGGATGGCAATTTCGAAGTCGCTGGGCTTAGCGTCTGGACGGACCTCCTGTTAGATCTTCCGAGTAGTGCATCGAAATTGTGTTTGGGAGGAGACAAGTTTGAGGTCCCAGCTTAAGCTCCTGTTCTTTGACAATGTTCTGGTCTTAACTACTTGAATGAAAACTGCAGTATCCTCACCCAATCACATAATTCAGAAGTCCAAAATGTAATTATTTATGGTGCTAAATTAAAATGGCTAGTGCAACTATAAATTTTCTAATTTTATTTATATTTTAGGTTTTTTTTCTTTTTTGGAGACAGGGCCTTGCCATGTAGTCCAGGCTGTGCTTGAACTCACTGTGTAGTCCAGGCTGACCTTGAATTTGAGGCAATCCCCCTGCCTCAGCCTCCTAAGTCCTGGCACCGCAGGTGTGCACTGCCATGGCTGGATAAATTTGCAAATTAGTTGACTTGAAGATCCTGGGATTGTCCAGAGGAAGTGACATATTGGAAGAATTCTTAAAGCCACTGAATTAGCAATAATGTGTTAGTAGGAGCTTTCCCCCAATGTTGAAAATATATGTGCTTTATAAAGAAGCAGCTTTAAAATAGCAAACAGATTCTTTTTTGAATCATTGTGGTTTACTTTTAGTTTAGTTTTTATTTTTGTTTTTTCTTATCTACATGTTTTTTGTCTCCATATTAATGTTCCAACAAGTTTTAATATGAATCAAAATTGTAGTATGAAAAAGTTGTTTCCAATATATGCAAATTACTGTATTTTGAAAGCTCATACTGTATATCCATTAAAAGCATTTACTGGGAAACACAGGGCTTAGTAAACACTAACATACATGCCTTTAGATTTTGGATTTGATATAAAAGAATCAAAATAAATTTTTGAAGGTACCCCTCTGTCATTAACTGGGTTAATAAATCACAGCGTCAGTTCATGTTAAATGAAGTGTTTAGACTAAAAGAGTTAAATTTCCTTATTTTTCCTTTAGTGACTAGCTTATGGAGACAGGAATACTTGTTTGTGGGAGCTTAATTTTCTTAGTTTACTTGAGTGTTTTTAACTTTCAGTGATTCCCAAGAACCAAACTTACTTAGTCAATATTACTAGAGTTATAGAACTTCCAACCATAAAGATCTCTTGCATTTTTGGAAAATACTGGTATTCTCAAAGTTAATTTTTAATTCCAGGTGTGCTATTAGAATAAAAACAGTTGTTTAACCTCATACAATTTTTCATTCTGTGGTAGGGTCTGAGAATAAAGTATCCCACTAGTAAGTGCACATTATGGAATAAGATAATCTTAGGTGACTATTGGCAAATTTGTATTCTTTATGATCTGCTTCCTTTTTTCTGGTTCTGATTGATGGAAACCATTTTTAGATTGCACTGGACATAACATTCAAGGTAATTCCTTCTTTCAGTTGCATGAGCTTTTTTCAAGAAACAGTCCAAGGAAGAGTTCTACTATGGTGAGAACTAATTTTAGATTCAGTACACTTTCTCATAGCTCCAGTTTCATTTCAGTGTAAGATAAAACGATTAAGACTGATAGACTTGATATTTTAAAATTCACTTTTAAAACTTGACTAGTTATGAATCTTATTTTAAGCTCCATGACATATTTGTTACTTACATAGTTGTATTGAAAATCACATTTAATTAGTGCTGCAAGACTATAATCTTCAGAATATAAACCAAAAGTGATTAAGAGAAATGCCCACGGGCCTGCACAAAAGCTACCTGAGAATAGAAGTCGTATTTGTCTTTATTTATTTGTGATTCAGAAATTTTTCAGTGTCTGGCACGTAGCATACACTTCTAATGTTTGAGTAAATGGAGCCAGCATTAAAAGTTTATATATTTCATTTTGAAAATATAAGTACTTGAGAAGATGTTACTGAATTTAATAACCTTGTTATCCATCTAGGGATCTATGCATAGAGTAGGAGGAAAATAAAGTGAAAGACTATATAAATGTGAAAACCTTTGATAAATATAAAAATATTGTGGTCTGTTTTTCCTATTAGATGTCTTTCTTCTGTCTTGATTTCTTTTATATATTATTCTTAATTCTTGCTGAATGATGGAATATTTGTTTCTTTGTGATCTTAATCTATTCTGCCTTACCAGTTAGAACATTCCATATCTAGGACTTTACTTTCTAAGCTTTATTTAACCTAAATGTATCTGTTACTACTTCCATGTTGATCTTTCTTAATGATGAGTGGGCCTTAGGAAACTTAATTTAGACTTTTTCAAAGTCATTTTTCAGTAGTTTGGTTTTTTCTTTGTAAGAAACCCAACTAGTTCAAACTGTAATTAATATTTTATACATGTAATTAATGTTTTATACAGACAAGTATATTTTGTTTTACCTGCATTTTTATCAATTTACTGTGAGTCCTTTGGAGATCTCGCATTGATAAACATTTCCCCTCCTGGTGCTGGGGTTTGACCCAGGGCCTCACCTATACTGACTGAGCATGTGCTCCACCATTGAGCTACGTCTCCAGCCCAAAGACAAACTTTTAAAATATTTGTCTGTAAATAGTTTTGACGTATCTGTTGGAAGTAGTTTTGCTATGTATATGATTCTAGATTCACATGTTAAGCAAATTAATCCACTCTCCTCTGGTTTCATGAAGAGAAGAGTGGATTAATTTGCTTAGTATGTGACATGAAAGCCACTGCCAGAGGACCTGCAGGTCTTTTCTAAGTGATCTCCTTTCTGTTTGCTGGTCAGATGGTCCTCTCTACAGTATATCTAATTGGGAATTGTTATGTTCTTCTCATTATATATGTGATATTTCATTTTTCTAAGGATGTGTTTTTTTCTCTGTTCTCAAATATCCCTGCCTTTTTCCCCTCAGTGTCTTCTTCCCTCCTCATTTTCTAACCTTTTTCCCATGACAGACCAGGCCTTTGTTAGAACTACTTACTCTACAAGTTCCCTTTCCTGGCTTCTGTCTCCCTGTCACTCTGAGCCCTGTGGGAATTGCTGTTATTTCTCCTTTACTGTAAAAAACAAGGCCACCCCTGGGTTGAAAAGAGCCTCCCCAATTAAGGGCAAAATTTGCAACTTCTATTGTTGGAAGAAACAATTCTGTAATACTAGATTCGCTATAAAACTAGTTTTTGGCTACGTACATGATTCACATCTTAGAAATGTAAAATTTTTTTTTTTTTTTTTTTTTTTTTTTTAATCCTTTGTTTCTTCCTTTAAATGGGCCGCAGTAAAAGTGTGCTGCTGGTCAGCCTGGAACCGTGGCTGCTGTAACTGAGATAAAGTCACATGTGCACCGTGGCAGTAGCCCAGCTGCCTAGATCATTCTGCTGCATAAGGAAAAATACACTTCACACCTCTCTTTTACTCAAATCACTCATTCATGGTGTTTTTATCAAATCCACATTACCTGTAATCCCAAGCAGTATAGGTTAAGAACTGGTAATTCTGTCTAATCTGATCTTTAAACAGTTCCTCGAGTTTTAAACTTCAAAAATTCCCCCAAATTTTCCCTATGCTCTCTTGCTCCCAAATTTGACTGACCATATTTGATAATCTTGTATCACTTGCACTTTTTGTGATTCCATTATTGTAATACAGAAGTTTGAGACTTCAGTGTTCTTACCTTGTGATTATCTTGGGAATTTATTTCCTGAAATGTAAAGGAAGTGGAAAAGTGGGTTGCATTGAGATTCTGTTTGTTTTACAGCAGTTGAACCAAAGGAATATTTAGCCCTCATTTCAGTAGTGCAGATGTCCTTTTAACCCACATCAATTTAATGTTTTCCCAACACCTCTGAAGTCGGTCTCATCCTGCCCTGCAGTCCTCTCCATGCAAATTCAAAGGACTCTCTCCTGGTATTCAGTTATTTGCTCGGAGTAACATATACTTCTGATCAGCTCACCTTTTTAAACTGGATTTGAAATTCTATAATCATGACTTTCACGGCACTATTCCATTACCAGTTTCTTTTTCCTTACTAGCTACATTTTCTTAAGTCCTACATCCTCATTGCTTGGTGCAAACCATCATCTCTTGGATTCTTGCAGGAATTTTTTTTTTTAAATTTTAAAGAGATTAAGACAAAAGAGGACAGAACAAAGCAGATCAGAATACAGCAATCTAAGCAACACAGCAGTTCACCACAAGACAACTCGATATTAACAGTAGCTGCCATAATATCTCTTTTCTTTGAAATAGTTGAGCATACCTTCACATACAATAGTATCAAGCATCATAAAATAGTATAAAACCATTCAAGAGAATGAAAGTATTACAGGGCATTCGGAATCAAATAACAGAAAGTGAACAGTGGCTACTAGATTATCTCATTTTCCATAAAAAATTAGTTTATACTGTCACATATTAAAATCCAATAAGACACTACATGATAGAATGAATAGAAACAAGAACAAAGCATGGTAGGATTTCAAAGCCTGATGATATTAAATCAGCAATGGCTGCTATAATGTCTTATTTTCTTCAAAATAGGTGTTTATACCATCACACATAATAAAATCAAACAGAATAAAACGATTCCAACTAATGAATGAAAATATAAGGCTTCAAAGCAAGGTAATGGAGAATCATGATTAGCATAAAATCTTACATACTCTCACCATTTCTTATACTAATGGAGATGATACGGGTATTTATACATGTAAGTTTGATTTATTTTGATTATGAGTATGCTTATAGTCTCAGGTTGCATCCATTTATTTATAAATATCTCAATGTGATCATTATTCATAGCTGAGTAGTACTCCATTGTATAAAAATGCCATGTTTTTTAATCCATTCCTCAGATGATGGACATTTAGGTTGTTTCCAGGATCTGCCTATCACAAATTGTGCTGCTATAAACATTGGGTATACATATATCACTGTGGTATGATGTTTTCAGTTCTGGGAATATGCTTAAAAGTGGAATAGCTGGGTCGAATGCTACTTCCAATCCCAGCTTTTTGAGGAATCTCCAGACTGACCTCCACAGTGGCTGCACTAAATTATACTCCCACAGCAGTGCAGGAGAGTTCCTTTTTCCCTGCAGCCTCTCCAGCATTTGTTGTTGGTAGTTTTCTTGATCCTGGCATTCTTTCTGGAGTGAGATGGAATCTCGGTGTTGTTTTAATTTGCATTTCTGTATTGAGTAAAGACGATTAACATTTTTTATGTATTTATTTGCCACTTGTATTTCTTCATCTGAGAAGTGTGTATTCATCTCAGATGCCCATTTTTGGATTGGTTTTTGAATTTTAGGAGTCTAATTTTTTTGTTGTTGTTTTTACTTCTTTATATGTTTCATACAGAAATCCTTTGTCTGAGGGACAGTTCACTTAAGATTTTTTTCCCAGTTTGTGAGTTTTCATTACGCTGGAGATTTCTTTTGACATGCAGAAACTGTTTAATAGGATGTGATCCCAGTTATTGATTCTGGTAAGTATTTTCCATGCGGTTTGATTCCTGTTCATGAATTTTCTACCTACTCCTATGTCTTCAAGATTTTTACCTAATTTAATTTGTCTTCCAACAGATTTAGTGTTTCTGTTTTAATATTCAGATATTTGATCCATTTAGATTTTAGTACATGGTGATAGGCATGGGTCTAGTTTTAGTTTTTGGCACGTGGAGAGCCAATTTTTTCCGCACCATTTATTAAAGAGACTGTCGTTTTTCCAGTTGAACATATTCGGCCCCTTTATCAAAGATAAGGTGGTTGAGTGTGTTTGTAGTTGTGGTTGTATCTTCTAATCTATTCCATTGATCTTCAGATCTGTTTTTATTCCAGTACCATATTGATTTTATTACAGTAGCTTTGTAGTATAACTTCAAGTCGGGGATTGTGATGTCTCCTGCATTGCCTTTGCTATTCTAGGTCTCTTCTGGTTCTAGATGAATTTTAGGAGTGATTTCTTCAGATCTATGATGTATGTTGATGGTATTTTCATTAGGATTGCATTGAATCTGTATCACAGTTTTGGGAGAATGGATATTTTCACAATATTTGTTCTTCCTATCCATGAACAAGGGATGTCTTTCCATTTTCTGAGATCCTCTTCAGTTTCTTTTTCATGTCATGATTTTCCCTATGTAGATCTTTTGCTGCTTTCATGAGATTGATTCCTAAATATTTCATTTTTTTTGGATGCTAGTGTGAAGGGTGTGGCTTCTCTTATTTCTCTCTCTGTGATTTTGTTGTTAGTGTATAGGAATGCTATTGATTTTTGAGTATTGACTTTGTATCTAGCTACATTGCTGAATTTATTTACTATATCTAGGAGTCCTTCAATAGAGTTTTGGGGGTCTTCTATGTAGAGTATCATGTCATCTGCAAATAATAATAATTTAACTTCCTCTTTTTCTATCTTTACTTGTTTTATTTCTCTCTTGTCTAATAGCTCTGGCTAGTATTTCCAGTACTATGTTAATAGGAGCAATGATAAAGGACATCCTTGTCTTGTGTTTGATTTTAAGGTAAAGGCCTTCAGTTTTTGGCCATTTAGTATGATACTGACTGTTGGTTTGTCGTAGATGGCTTTTATCAAATTGAGGTAAATACCATCTATTCCATGTATCTGTAAGATTCTTATCATGAATGAATGTTGGACCTTATCAAAAGCTTTTTGTACATCTATAGAAATGATCATGTGATTCTTACTTTTGGCTCTGTTGATATGGTGGATTACATTTATTGATTTACATATGTTGAACCATCCCTGCATGTCTGGGCTGAATTCCACTTGGTCATGGTATATAATCTTCTTGATTTGCTGCATCCTGTTTGCCAATATTTTATTGAGGATTTTTGTATCTATGTTCAATAGGGAGATTGGCCTGTCATTCTCTTTTTTAGTTGGTTCTTTCTCAAGTTTGGTACTAGAGTAATATTTGCTTCCAGGTATGACTTAGGAAAGATTGCTTCCCTTTCAAATCATTGAAGACTTTGAGGAGTGTCGGCATTAAGTCTTCTTTGTATTTCTTGTAGAACTCCACAGCGAATCTGTCTGGGCCTGGGCTCTTC